CTTTAGTGCCTTTGAAATTCAAAAACAATTTTAAGTATTCAATAAGCTAGGAGAGATGGTTTAGCACAGTGAACAGAGAACTGGCTTTAGAATCGGGAAGGACTGGGTTCAAATCCTATGTCTGATGCTCACTATCTATGGAATCCTGGGCAATTCATTTGCCTCTCACTGTCTCAGGTAACACTCTACAATTATAAATTACAGATACGCCAATTGGCTTTGGCAGACGACATTTCCACATGGTAACTGGCAAAATCATAGGTCTGGACCAAAAAGAGAAAAAAGAGAGCCATGTAACAGCCATCTAAAACTAGTAACCCACCAAAATAAAAACCAGGTACTCATGGCAGATTATTAAATTACACATAATATCCGATAGGGGAAAATTATATCCTGTAACTTTAGAAAAAGTTTTTATTTAACCAAACTTCTCATCTCTAGCTTGTCTCTTCTTAATTATTCTTGCCATAAATGAAGGTTATTTTAGTATACTCAGAGTGTGCTTACTGAAGAGGATAACTATGATACTATATGACTAGAAATATAAAAGCAAATATTACTTTCTATATGTGAGGTAACATGAGATTTACATAACTATGTATAAATCTATGATTCTAAGTTGCCTTAATAATACTACACCCTAGGTATCAATAGGTGTCTTAGAATTCACCACAGAATTTTAGAGCTAAAAGAAACTTCAAATACAGTGTAGGTCACTGTCCCATATGTTTTTGTTGTTACAGATGGGAAAACTGAGGCCCAGTGAAGACATTCACTACCTCTGGAACCTAGTTTCTTCTAACTCCCAGGCCAGTTGTATTTAGAACCATCTATTCAAAAATGTTGAAAGCCCAAAACACTCAAAAACAGAGTGCTTTTATTTCTCCGGGCACCATGACATTAAGCTACTTCAGGCCTGTCCTCCAGCATTCTCTTTTGGAACACACACCACTTAAATGGCAATCGATGCATCTCAGTTCTATGAATTCAGTTTGCTGATATACACTATGACTGGATCCTGGGTGCTACTAATTATAGCTAGCTAAACACAATGACTGGGGCAGCTGGGTGTCTCAGCGGATAGAGTGCCAAGACTGGAATCAGGAAGACATTTCCCCATGTTCAAATCTGGCTTCAGATGCTTATTTGCTATGTGACCCTGGGCAAGTCACTTAACCCTGTTTGCCTCAGTTTCCTCATCTGTAAAATGAGCTGGAGAAAGAAATGGCAAACTAATCAAGTATTTTTGCCAAGAAAACCCCAAAGGGAGGTTCACCAAGAGTCGGACATGATTGACCAAGAACAATGACTGCCAGAATCTTTTTAAGAATTATTCTTCTCCCCCACACCATTTGAATTTCACAGGTTTTTTAAATCATCTGCTTTAAAGCTGAGGAACAGATGAGTACTTGAAGCTGTGTGTTCACCAATCTTGGACTACCATCAGCTCTGAAAAGTTTAAATTCCAAAGAGCAATGGAAAGACACATGGTAGGCACAAGTAGGCTGCAGTTTATTAGCAACAATGACCTCTTCCCAAGAAGTGGTGTGACAGACATCAAGGACATTATGTTAGTAATAATCATAGCTAGTATTTACATAGTGCTCGCGATGTGCCAGGCACTGTGCTAAGTGCTTTTCAAGTATTATCTCATTTGAGCCCTGCTATTACTATCCCCATTTTACAAATGAGAAAACTGAAGCTAAGAGAGGTTAAATGATTTATTCACGGTTACATAGCTGGTAAGAGTCTGAGGTCAGATTTGAACTCAGGTTTTCCTGACTCTAAGACTGGCACTTTACTCACTGTGCCAACTAGCCATCCTGTGCCTACATTATAAGTAGAATAGTAGAGGAACTGGTCAGGTACCAAGAGAAGATGGACCAGCAGACTCATATTGTACTTGTATCCATTGTTGTTACCATCCAGTCACGTCCGATTCTTCATGACTCCATTTGGGGTTTTCCTGGCAAAGATACTGGAGTGGTTTGCCATTTCCTTCTCCTACTCATTTGACAGATGGGAAAACTGAGGCAAACTGAAGTGACTTGCCCAGGGTCACATAGCTAGTAAGTGTCTGAGGCCGGATTTCAACTCAGGTCTTCGTGATTCTAAGCCTACACTCTATCTACTGCACCACCTAGCTGCCTCTATAATGTCTAAGAGTCTTAATAAATACTAATGTTAATTAAATGACCTGGCTTCATATGCAGACCAGCATCTCTCTTCAAAGTTTTCTAATCTTGAGTCACAAGTTTAGTACGTCCTGGAGTAACTACAGGAGAGAAAATTAATTGAATCACCTTCAAGGAAGTGGGCCCACATGCCCTACCTGATGCACAGTCAGAGCCTAATAAATGCTTGCTGACTGACTGAATAAATAACTGTACTCCACACTGCCCCAGCATTTAATTTTTCCCTTTTTGAAATTGTTTACTTTCCTATGTCAAATGGCCACTGAACCTCAAGAAACACCCAATAATGGGAGAGTAGAGACTGTTATTTAGCTTTGTTTTCAAACAGCACCAATGACATCACAGATGATATCTTGACTTGTGTGTGAATTGGATTTAAGGGAGGCAGAGTTGGGCAAAATCATCAGCCTTACTCTTTCTTCTAAAGGCATCGAAGTCCATCAGCAGTACAAAAGTCAAGATGACCAGTGGATGCAGTGGATGACCTTGGTGTCTCTGATGTCTGATCAAGTTCTTTAAGCGCTCCACCATACCTGCTTCAGCCTCCTTCATGGCCGTGGGAACAAACTATTCTCATCCACCCATTTCACTGGGGGAAGTCTTCACGTGCTTGGGGGTAGACACCTCCCTATCTTGTATACTCCCAAAATAGGAAAAAAAGTAGGACACATATCCTAAGGCAATGGCTGCTAAGTAGAAAGGTAACAGATTCATTCTATATGACATAGACAGGTAAAGAGGCTAAAAGAAAACTCATTAGAATGAGTGAGGAAGAGGGGATAAAGTAATCAGATGATGAGACAATTGTGTAAGGGCCACCCAAAACCCAACTGCGGGGACTCAAATATAATGACTCATTGAATAGTAATAGAGGAAGTATAGCTAACAAGATCTTCTTAAATACATGGGGGACACATGGCGGCCCAGGCCTATGCTCATAAAATAAGCTTCTGCTGGGAAAATAAGTATATCCCCTGAGTTACTTACACTTTTTTTGCCTAGTTCTGTTTTCACCATCCCCTTTGAGAATGGATTTTCTAGCACACTCTGTTAATTGGCAGTGAGAGAGGAAATGCTATCTCAAGCTCTCATAAATCTGAAATAAACTGGGCAGCTGTGTGCTTGGGCTAGTCCATAAAAGATGAGCCTCTTGGGGTTGCTGAAGGATTATGTGGCCATTAGTACACCACTTGGAGGAAGAGACCATCATTTCACATAGGAATCTATTTCCCACCACAAGTTACGCAAGAATATAATGGTATAATTCAACCTCTTCTTCCTCAGGCTCTGCCCAGCAGACCTAGTTAACAGAATGCATGGAGGAGCTTTGCTTTAGCATTATTCGCCAGACAGAATGGGGCATCAAACAGGTTTTTCTTAGATAGCATCTATGGGAATTTAGTTATTGTTATTCCAGCAATACAAGGCAGCTGCAAGGCCTGGACCCCCAGGTATGGTATAGTGGAAAGAACACAGAAAATCTGGGCTGCAGTGTTAACAGTGCTGCTAGCTAGCTTTATGATCCTAGTCAAGTCCCTTAATCTCTCTGGGTCTCAATTTGTTCAGTTGTAAAATGAGGTGACTGGATTCACTGGATGATCTTTAATGTTCTTTCTACTTCTAAGAAGTCAATAGTGAGGTTCTAAGATATTTCTATGATTTAAAGATTTTTTTTCCTCCTCTTTTTCATTAACTGGTGATGTACAATGCCTGATTTGTTATGATTCAGTCCTTTTTCAGTTGTGTCAGACTCTTCATGATACCTTTTGGGATTTTCTTGGCAAAGATACTGGAGTGGTTTGCCATTTCCTTCTCCACCTCATTTGACAGATGGGAAAACCGAGGCAAACTGGATGAAGTGATTTGCCCAAGGTCACCCAGCTAGTAAGTGTATGAGGCCAGATCTGAACTCAGGTCTTCCTGATTCCAGGCCTGCACTCTATCCACTGCACTACCTAGCTGCCCCTACAATGTGTGACAGTCCTTAATAAATACTAATGTTAATTAAATGACCTGGCTTCATATGCAGACCAGTATTTGTCTTCAAAGTTTTCTAGTCTTGAGTCACGAGTTTAGTATGTCCTGGAGTGACTACAGGAGAGAAAATTCAACTGAATTACTTTCAAGGAAGTGGACCCTCCTAATTATGTGATGCTAGAAGAAAAAAGCATCACGAACTATCTGAAAAAATCCAGACAAGTAAAGGAGGACTAGTCTTATTTTCTCTATTGAGCTTTAATTCTGCACTAGAAGGAGAAAACAAAATGCCACCGAAAATGAATGTGGATCAAGAGGCAGTCTTGTTTTAATATCTTAAATCATTTAAAATACATGCTTTACATCGCAGTAGTAATTTTTGTAGACTGATGATGGGGAAACAATCTGGATATGGTACAAGAACATTTATTGATTTGATCTGAGAAAAGTGAGGACCTCCTTGCTAATTTTCTAGGGGAAAAGTGTAATGTAGGCAAAAAAACACTGAGCTCAAAGTCAGGAGGCCAGGGTTCTAGACCTTCCTCTGACATTCAGTGGCAGCATGACCTTGGGTAAGTCACCTCATTTCTCTGGGCCTCCACTGTCTTACCTATAAAATAAGGAAGGAGTTTGTACCAGCAATCTCTAAGGGCCTTCTGGTTGTTTTGGTTCTAATTTACGCTATTTAAAGACAGAGTAGTTCATGATCTATGTTGTTCTGATAACACTTATCTGTAGACCTGAAAAATGCTCATCATATTCCAGAGAACTATTGTTTTAAATCCTTTAAAGTAAATAAATAAACAAATAAATAAACCATAAAAATACCTGTGAGTGCTTTGAGACCCAGTGACGGAGGACATTCAGTACTCGGTTGGTGGCTGTTCTGCGTATTATGAACTCTTTGTCGCAGGTTCTCTCACTGTTGTTAAATCCTTTGGAGGAAAAATTACATTGTAGTTAAAGCCAATTCAACGAATCTTGGAAAAGGTCATTTATTTTAGGACACTGTTTGAATAAAGCTCACAAATGAAACCTACTGCTACACAAGTACTGGGTCTTCCAGCCCCTGTTAATTCTACTTACCTATTATATTCCCAGTTTCACACGGCTGCAGGTGCAGTGAAATGAATGCCTCTCACACTTTGTTAATACCATTAATTACATGTAAAATTGGTTGAATAACTAGCTCTGTCTCCCATTTGGAATTGCCTTATTCTATCACGCAAATTTTCAAAATTGTGTATTTGGGTCAGTATTAGCTCATGCTTTTGCTCAAAATGTAGCTATATAAGAAAATGGTCATCACTGCATTGGGCCCAGATTATGTACATACCTTTAATCTACAGATTACATAAATGCCAAAATCAAATTCTGGGTTACCGTCTTTACTCTAAGTATCCTATAAACATGGACCCCATGTCCTGTAGATGGTGAAAGCAGAGGTCACACCTCTACAACTTCACCCAGAATTTAGCACTTAATAAACTCTGTTATATAAGGCTGCAGTGTTGTTACTTGCTCAAAATAACAGTTAAAAGAGCCAATCTACAGTCATGCCTATGGGGGGGTGATGAAGTAAAGAATCTCTGTGGGAACTTCAACACACCGCTACCTCACATGATTCCATTTTAAAGATGTAGTTGAGACTATACTTTCCAGAAGGTCACCATGGATTTGTAGTCAATAATCACAGCATCACATACTGAGAAATCTTAAAGATTCTGTAGTCCGACCTCCTCATTTTATGGATGGAGAAACTGAGGCCTAGAGAAGAAGACCTTGGTCAAGGTCAAGTAGCAAGTGGAAGATCCGGGATTTGAACCCGAGGCCTCCGAGTCCATTATACCACACAATATATGAACAGGTAGAAATGGTAGTGAATAGAACTAAGAAGGAAAGATGAGAAGAGGAGCTAGACCAGATCAAATATTCATAGAAGAGGCCCATTCAGAAGGTGACAACTTTGAGGACCCTGAGGGACTGATTCTCAAGAAGTCTAAAAGAGGAGAAGATACCAAATGCTTTGAAGAGAAAAATAGTACTTTAACAACACCAAAAAATGTGACTGAGAAAATATTGATGATATTAGTAAATCTTGACCCATATTCTTATTTTCACATCTCTACAAAATCTTTATAATAATAAGAGCTGGTCATCTGTGTTACCTTAAATTGTGTGCTCCACGAAGGCAAAGCTTGAATATTTTAGGGAAGACAAACACAGATGGCGTAGGATCACTGTGTACATTTATATAACATTCCTTCTAGACCTAGCTACTGAATCCTACTTCCATTCAGGTCTGACTGTTCTTGCTTTTGATGTTTATAATGATTGCCAACAACCAGCAGTCTTTCGTGTAAATGACATCTCAGCAAATTTAATTTATTTCCCTTATTCAAAATGGCTTCTAATCTTCTTTCTGCTTATTTGAACCTAATACCTTATATCACTGGGAAGCTCAGGAGTTTTCCCGAAAAAAGGATAAACCACTCATTTAGGTCACCCTTCCAAACAAGGTGTGACATGTTTAGCTGAAGTAATCAGTGCCTTGTGAATACCACCAAAATGGATCAGCCTTACGCAGAGACTGGCCTTATGAATAGGTCAAGTGGCTGCCACTCTGAAGGTATGATTTCAAGTGTGTTGGGAAAAGCGCCTTTATCCCCAGATATCTCCCTCACCTCCTGATACCATGACTGAAATTTTGCTTTTAAATTCTATCACATAAGCCTTTGGTATTGAACCTTTCTGGTCTTTAACATTCATTATCAATAAGCATTTATTAAGCACTAACTTCATGCCCGACACTGTGCTAGAGTTATAAGGAAAGACAAGAACCAGACTCTGACCTCAGGTAGCTCCTCATTCTCAGCTATTAAAAGGCAAAAAAAAAAAAAAAAAAAGGAAAGAAAAGAAAAAAAAGCAAAAACTGAAAGAAAAACAAACAAAAAATGCAAAAACACACAAAAACCCCCCACAAAAAAACAAACAAACAAACACACCAACTAACTAATACCCTAAGCTAATACTCGACAATTCACCAGATGATTTTCAAGAACAAAGCCTTGTAGCATAGGTGCTTGGAATAGCTCCTTCAGGTGGGGACTGATTTTTTGTATTGGTATCCCCAGAATAGTTCAGTGTCTGGTACATGTTAGGTGCTTCAGTACTTGGGGATCAGGGCTCAGTGTGATAGCTCGGCTCAGAGAACCCAAATAGGAGCATATTATATTGCTTTTGGACAGGGGTTTTAACTTCTGGTACCTGACTTTGCCGTTAAAAATATTTTATATAATTGTTTTTTCTAACCTGGAAAGACTTGCATGAATTGTAAAGTGAAACGAGTAGAACAGAAGAACATTGTATACAGTAACAGCAACATTGTGTGATGATCAACTATGAATGACTCAGTTCTTCTCAACAACACAACGATCCAAAGCAATCCAAAGGACTAATGATAAAGCTTATTATCCACCTCCAGAGAAAGAACTGATATTGTTTGAACACAGACTGAAGCATGCTATTTTTCGCTTTCTTTCTTTCATTTTTTTCTTTTATTTGATTCTTCTTGTACAAAATGACTAATATGGAAATGTTTTACATAATTGCACATGTATAACCTATATCTGATTGCTTTCCATCTGGGGGGGCAGGAAGAAAAGAGAGGGAGAGAGATAGGAATGGAATTTGGAATTCAAAACTTTAAGTAAAAAATGTTTAACAAAAACTAGTGGCTCTGTATTGATTAACATATAATTTCATCTTTATTTCATCATTTTTAAATTTCTATTTTGTATAAGTTTTGTAATGTAAATAATTATTTGTATAGTAGTAATAATAAAAATAATAGCTAATATTTACATAGAGCTTTAAGACTTAGGACTTTACGTATAATATCTCATATCATCTTTGAGACAGCCGTTATTATTATTCCTATTTTACAGGTGAGGAAACTGAAGCTGAGAGATTAAGATACTTGCCCGGGGTCATTCAGGTTGTACTAGTGTTTGAGACATAATTCAAACTCATGTCTTCCTGGTTCCAAGTCCAGAACTCAATACACTATACTACTTGGCTACCTTAAATACATGTTTGTATTTATTTATGTATTTATGTATGTATTTACAAATAAAAAATAATACATTTATTGAGAGTACATACTCAAAACCGTTTTACTGATAGGAGTGTATAATCAAAAAAGTTTGGAGACTGCCTATCTAGAGGAAAGGAGGACTGAGAACCAAAACTGCATTAACCAGAGAAAGGGTTGAGGTCGGAATTCCAGAGAATCATGTACATGAGGGAACTGTACAGCCCCTCCAGAAAACCATGTGGTTTCAGGGACAGCAGCAGACAGAGGCAATGGTGAATTGGTGGGCAAGCTAGGAGCTGTAGAAATGTAAGCCAGCATCAGTGAAGGAGGAATGATTAATAGACTAGTCTCCAGAAAAGCAGTAAAATTGCTAGACCAAGCTTCTGATACAGTAGAGGAATTCTTAGAAAATGTGTTGCTCCTTGTCTGCTCTTAGTGAAAAGAGGAAAAATTTTTGGGCTACTCAGAAACCAAAGCTAAGGAGTAGGAAAGGATGGAGCCATGATGTGGAAGAGCAAACTGTGAGTTATGTGGACTGTGTAAGACTAGGGAATGGGTTTATTTAACTTAAGGATAGTATTATAAGTTGGAAAGACTGTGTGGGTCCCTGGGGGAAATGGCATTCATCAGAAAGTATCTGCTTGTCTCTCTAGCAACTTTTTGGGTGGGGTGTAAAGCAGTTTATATATATGATCTCATTTGATCCTCAGTCCTTTTAGGTGCTATTATTATCCCAATTTTATTATTTTTTATTTAACATTTCATTTTTCCCCAATTACATGGAAAAACAATTTCAACATTTTTTTTATAATTTTGAATTCTAAATTCTCTCCCTCCCTCATCATTGAGATGACAAGCAATTTTATATAGGTCATACATGTGCAGTCATGCAAAATATATTTCCATATTAGTCATGTTGTGAAGGAAAACACAGACCCCCCCCAAAAACCCCAAAATAAATAAAGTTTAAAAGAAAAGTATGCTTAGATCTGCATTCAGACTCCATCAGTTCTTCCTCTGGAGGTAGACAGCATTTTTCTTCATAAGTCCTTCAGAACTGTCTTGGAGCATTGTATTGCTGAGAATAGCTAAGTCATCCAGAGTTGATCATTGTACAACATTGATGTTATTGTGTACAGTGTTGTCCTGGTTCTGCTCATTTAACTTTGCATCAGTTCATGTAAGTCTTTCCAGGTTTTTCTGAGAGCATCCTGCTCATCCTTTCTTATACTACAATTCTCTAGCAACTTTTGACTACTTTCTCTTAGGGGAGGGGTGAAGGGATTCAATCCTATGATAGTATTAGAGGCTCTATGGAGAGGGAGACAGAATTGTTTTAACTCTTTATGGTCTCAGTTAGAAATCTTTGACTTTCTATCAGGTATAGCCAAAGTACTGCTATTACTGCTACTACACTAGGCATCTTAAAGGGAGGTCCTTTTTCCCCTTTTGTGGAGACATAGACATGAGCACAATTCTGATGTTGGGGAAATCTTGGGTTGAGGCAAATGACTCAAATTTTGGGGATAAAACCCTTGGTGTGTGCATGAGCCAGAATAATATACAGATTTTGTAAAACATTCCCACTGTTGAATCTGGTCTCAGTTCTAAGCTATGAATTACATCCAAATAGAATAAATTCCTTCCTGTCTAGGAGGATATACTATGTAATCTTGTTTAGAAGCAGGAGATTTGACTACATGGCCTCCTGAGAGCCCCTTTGGCCTTGTAAATAAAAAATATGAGCAAGGGCTGGATTTCCAGCCTTTCTGCTATTGAATACCTCCAGAGGACTCCTGTCACAGGAACACATTTCAGATGGCTTCAGGCTTTGATGAC